TCATTGTTGTTTGGCGGGTCTGGGCTGGATTCGAACCCGCCACCTTAGGTGTATGTGGCTGGCACCTTAGCCACTTGAGCCACAGATGCCGAGCCACCCATCCTTTTTTATTTTAGCCATTCCAGTGTGTGAGTGGTGGTTTTAATTTGCATTTCCCTGATAATTAGTGAAACGGAACACCTTTTCACACATTTATTTGCTTTCTAGATGTCCTTTTCCATAAAGAGTCTGCTTAATTCTTCTGTATAGTTTTCTTTTGGGCCGTACATCTTTTTAAACATTTTTAAAGGAGTTTTGAAAAATGTATTCTAGATATGATTTTTGAGAAAGAGCCTCAAGCTGTCACTCTGGGTAGAGTGCTGTCGTATCACAGTTCACAGCAACCTCCAACGCCTGGGCTTAAGCGATTCTCTTGCCTCAGCCTCTCAAGTAGCTGGGACTACAGGTGCCCACCACAATGCCCAGCTATTTTTTGGTTGTAGTTGTTGTTGTTTGGCAGACCTGGGCTAGATTCTAGATACAATCTTTGTCACATATAGGCACTGAAAAATCTTAAATATCTTCTCTCACATTGTGAATTGCCTTTCCATTCTCTTAATGGTGTCTTTTAATAAACGAAAGTTCTTTAATTATGCCAAACTTGTCAATTGTTTTCATTATGGGTAAAGTCCTATTTAATTTTTTAAAAGTTTTAATAAATAATATTTATAGTATTTGAATATATATAATTTAACCAAGGTTTAATGAATAACATTTTAATAAAAATAAATCTAATTTATCAATTTCTTTCATTATAGTGCTATTGTTTTTCAAATAAAAACTATTTTCCTACATGAGCATTACCCTTTATTAAATTCATAAACTGTGATAAATAACAATACATTAAAAACAAGGAAAGACAATAGCGCTTTCTATTTAAGACCCCAGGTCAAAAAGAATATTCTACATTTTCCTTCAAAAGCTTTACTGTTGGCTCGGCGCCTGTGGCTCAAGCGGCTAGGGCGCCGGCCACGTACACCTAGGGTGGCGGGTTCGAATCCCCAGCCCGGGCCCGCCAAACAACAATGATGGCTGCAGCCAAAGAATGGCCGGGCATTGTGGTGGGCGCCTGTGGTCCCAGCTGCTTGGGAGGCTGAGGCAGGAGACTCGTTTGAGCCCAGGAGTTGGAGGTTGCTGTGAGCATGATGCCATGGCGCTCTACCCAGGGGGACAGCTTGAGGCTCCGTCTCAAAAAAAAAAAAAAAAAAAAAAGCTTTACTGTTTAACCTTTCACATTTACATCCATAATCCATCTCAACTGATTTTTGTAAGGGCATGTAGGATAGTTTTCAAACAGTGAAATCACTGTGTTAAGCAGCATAAGCATGTTTAATTTAATTGATAATACTATACAAAACGGCTGTACCAACCAATGCTCTTTCTAACAATGTGAGAATTCTCCTTTTGAAACCCAAATACCTGCCTTTATCTCTTATTATCAGACTTCATAAATTTCTTCAACCTAAGGGTTTGCTTTCTGGTACCCTGCTGAGACTTTGTCTGGGATTGCACAAAATCTGTATATTAATTGGAGAAGAGCTGAAATCTATTCAATACTGAGTCTTCCCTTCCAGGAACATGGTTATTTTCTTTCTAAGTCAGATTTTCTTTTGTGTTCTTCAGTAACTCTTTTTTGTCCCCCCTTCTCCATATACATAGTGTCTTTCTGTAAGTTTATGATATTTTAAGGTGACTTCTTCCTATTTTATTTCTGTTGCTAGAAGAAAAATGCATTACCTGTTCATTACACATTCCATGGCATTACATATTCAGACTGGTGATTGCAATGGACAAGAACATTATGACTGGTATGTATTCATCTTGCATGGAAATTACTGAGTTTGCATTTCACCTAACAGTTCTCAACTGATTTTGGCTTATATGATTGCATTCCTATATTGAGTGTAAAAATACATAGGAAAGGTGGGCAGAGAAAAAAAGATATTGAAAGGTACATAATGGTTATTTTCAGAAGGCGAAACTGTAGGTGACACTGACTTTCAATGCTTAGTCTAGTTACTTCTTGGATGGTAATAATTAACTGACAGCAGTCTAATCTCTCTGTTATCCAAATTCGTAAGTATATGACTTAATGATTATTCTTAAAGAATGTTAAGAATTCTCTCAGCTCATGTGTTTTTTAACTTCATGATAAATGTCATTTTGCTTAGTTATGAACAGTATGACGTTATTCTCATGAAATTTAAAGAGATACAGTCATTTCTAAATATAAAGGAACATTTACTACCACAGATCAAAGCCCACCTGTTTTTTGTAAATTTTCAGTTGTTCTTCGAAATGGGCACAGAAATAGGCAACAGTTTCCTTTTCACCTACAAAGAAGTGATACAAAATCTTTTTTCCTTCCCATGTTTAAAACAGGTATCAATGTCTATTCCATCTTTATTCTTTTAAATAATTTACTGACAGTCCAAATGTAACCAAGATTGTTGAAAACCATTTTAAAATGAAATGTTACACCAAAGATCTGGTTTTTTCCCCCAAACAGACATATCTAAAACATATCTGAAGAAAGTATAAACTGTGAAATTATGAGATTATATAATTGTCTACTTCTCCAAAAAGGTTTCATGTGAATTATAATAAAATAAAACTCCCTATAAAACATTTTAAAAAATGAAGTTATATTAAATGCTCACAAATACAAATTGGGTTTTGAGAAACAAATATAATGATTTTTAAAAATCAACTTCAGGCGGCACCTGTGGCTCAAAGGAGTAGGGCGCTGGCCCCATATGCCAGAGGTGGCAGGTTCAAACCCAGCCCTGGCCAAAACTCAAAAAAAAAAAAAATCAACTTCATTCAGTAATCTCATTAAATTTAAATGATTTGGCTATTCCAATACTAAAGCTAAAATACTGGAAGAAATTAAATACTCGATATATATATTTTTTTGAGACAGAGCCTCAAGCTATTGCCCTGGGTAGAGTGCCATGACATCACAGCTCACAGCAACCTCCAACTCCTGGGCTCAAGCAAGTCTTCTGCCTCCGCCTCCCAAGTAGCTGGGACTACAACGCCTGGCCATTTTTTTGTTGTTGCAGTTGTCATTGTTGTTTGGTGAGCCCAGACTGGATTCAAATCCACCAGCTCAGGTGTATGTGGCTGGCGCCTTAGCTGCTTGAGCCACAGGCACCGAGTCTCAATATTTTTAAAAACACAATTTTTATGAAGAAATATTTGAGTAAAGGCATCTTATCGATTTTTGGTAGATTCCGTCTTAAGATACTTCCTGCTTCTACAAACATTGTCTACATTTATTTTTTTCTAAAGTTGAACATTCAACATAGTATTCTTTATTTTTTTATTTTTATTTGATTTTTTTTTTTTTTTTTTTAGATAGAGTCTCACTATGTCGCCCTCTGTAGAGTGCCATGGTGTCACAGCTCACAGCAACCTCACACTCTTGGCTTTAAGTGATTCTCTTGCTTCAGCCTCCCAAGTAGCTGGGACTACAGGGCGTCTGCCACAACACCCAACTATTTTTTTGTTGTAGTTGTCATCGTTTTTAGCAAGCCCAGTCCAGGTCCGAACCCACCAGCCCCAGTATATGTGGCCAGCGCCGCAGCCATGGAGCTACAGGCACCAAGCAAGATAGTATTCTTTATAAAGTAACAGCAATTTATATCTTTGAAATAAGTTGTTTTGCTCTATTGTTAAAGCAATCTTTTATTCTTAAATGACTTAATCAATTATTATTATTATTCCTGTGATCCTTATCACATTTCTCAATACGAACTATTGTTCTGAATGCAGTATCTGGCAAAGCAAATCTAAACTTATCAAGTACCTAATTTAAAAAAAAAAAATCTTCTCTCTGAAATCATCTGCAAACCAAACACCTGACATGCTTACTTTTGTCCAGACGAGGTCTTGGATTATATCGATACCCAACTTGGCTCCAAAAGACAGGAACAGAGCCTCGTGTTTGAACAAATGACAGGGTATGATTATGAACATGAATCAACTGCTCAGTCTCCACATAATTTGCAACATTTCCATTTTTATCCACGCCTCTTCGTTTATAGCGCATTCCTGAAAAAATTTAAAGCAGAAAACAGCAGCATTTAAAAAAAATGTGTTTAGACTAGATTATACTTCCTAATCAAATGCACATCTTCCAGGCTAGCCTTGGGGATCCACTGTGCAACTGCCAAGCAGAACAGTATCAACTTACCCCATATCATAACTGTAGACATCATTGTTTTTAACAACTTGAAGCTAAGACAGTTCCTCTGAACTAAGAGAACAGTTTTCCCAAAGGCAGTAGCACTCAGGAAGGATTTATCACGATGGCACCGGCTGCCGGCCGCGATGCTGGGATTCAGAAGCACACCTCAAGCGATTTTCTTCTCTTCTCTCTGTATAGGTACCTCCTTTTCTCTTTCATTTTGCTAACACTCCCCTTTTGTCCCATCCTCAAAAATTAGCCTCCAATCACTGCCCAGTATTTAGAGTCACCAAGCACTCTGAAGCCATTCATGCTTCCAAACCCAGTATTGTCATTGGTATCACCACATCTGCAGCTTTTCCATTCTCACTGGGACTTGATCTGCATGGTATTACAGCCCTCTACTCACCTGCTCTGTGCCTACTTCGGCGTGAAATGAGAGCCACTAGAAATCGTGGGTGAACATCGTCTACACAGGTGGACTCCTGGGGGGGGGTCTCTGGGCTGCTTTTCTCATCATCAGATGATTCGTTATAATTTACCACCAGTTCTTCAATCTGCACAAAACCTTGGATAATAGGGAGAATCCAAAAGTCCACATCTGGTGTCTGAAAACAACATGAACATACTGTTTCTATCCTGTATAGCACTGCTACTTTCTTAAATCCAAACAGTAGTCCAGCAGCATTTATCAGAAGCAGAAACCTTCCGTCCTTCGACCACATTTTCTGCTTATTGGTGAACACTATGAAAGGAAGGGAAGGAAGGAGGGTCTTTTCTTTGTGATCATTCAAAAACAGCTGACTGAGAGGGAACACAGTGCAGGAGCCGGGGGCAGATTCCAGCGCCATCACTTACTCTCAGAGAGGAAGCACCTCCCTGTGCTCTGCCGTCCTCCTCTCTGCAATAGGAATCACAACTACATCAGGAGGTTGTTGTGAAGATTAAATGGATGGTACATCCAGTGTTTGGCACAATGCCTATCATATACGTGGTAGTAAGTATTGAACAAATGTAGCTAGAATAATAATATCAGGGTATTATTCCTACTGGTATAGAAAAATAAAGCTTAAAGGCTGATTCTCAACTCTGAATTGCATTAAGCCTTTAATAAAATGCAACCAACTCTGATTACTTTGTTATGAAACATGTAAGTCTAGTTTAGAAAAAAAAATACTGCTTCACCAAGCTAAAATCTAAGTGGTAAATGAACTAAAAAAGCATTTTTCCATAAATGTCTTATTTTAAAATGTCAGAGCCAATATAATTAGGAATAGTGATTAAAGATTTCTTCTGTGTCTTTCAGCCTAAGAATATTCAGATTTTTCAACTGACTACATGCACAGACGTAACAGGATAAAAAATGCTCCACAGAGTTGTCTAGATCCCACTTTCTTATCTCCCTACGCGTACCCAGTCTTAGTATCAAGTATTAACTCCAAATGCACATCCTTTTCATCACCACAGACTCCAGTCCTATCTCAGTTTCATTTTTGTCTTATGAAGCCTACAGACAGGATCTCAGGAAAGTTATTAGAGTTGAAAACAGCCAGGTGAAGGGTCTATCTGTATTCATTATTCTTATCACCATTTCCATTTATTTATATTTTTGTTCTAGCTATAAATGCAAAACTCTTGACAGGAGCAGAGAAATGCACATTGACAAATGTCACCTTTACTGTGAGTTGGCAGTTTTAAATGGTAATGGAAAAGCATTCTGACAAAAACTCTGCAAAACCTATTAAAGCTCCATATTGTCAGCATACAGGACAAATACTCATTGCAGATGCCCTTACTTCTCTCCTCTATCACTGTGTTTAGGTGTCAGAGTTTGATCAACATCATAGACAGAGGTGAGAACAATCGCAGGCCTCATTCTCAATAGAGGCAGGATAGGTATGTGGTGGCAGACACAGCTAGGTAAAGTAAAAATCATTTATACTAAAACAGAAAGAAAGCAGCAGCTTTGAAGTTTCTGAAAGATTAAGAAAAAGATAATAAATGACCCTATTCAGTTATGTGCCTGCTTTGTTTAAGTGTCCAAAACAGTAAGTAGCATGCAGCAGGCTTCCATAAATATCTGTTCATTGAATGAATAAACAGTCTTTGAACAGTCAAAATTTTCCAATATATGTGACAGAGCTAAGGAAAAAATACCATCAAACCAGAAGCAACTTCATGCAATAATCTCTTCATATTCAGAGTCTTCCCTGAATCAAAGACTAGCAGCAGCACTGGAATGGCCTTAGAGATTTGCCTACTCCAATTCCCAAGTGAGAAAACAGAGGAAAACAGAACCCACTGGGAATGCTGAAGCCCAAACAAAAACTCTCTCTAAAAGGAACTCTACAGACATTAGTTCCACAATCTGAAATCATTCCTATCCTACAGCAACCACTAAAAAGGCAAGCCTGTGATTAGGCGATGGAATGGTAAACTGCCTTAAAATAATGCCTTGGTTTTCCCTAGCTAAATGATTTCCATTCTATAGGGAAAACATTACAGTGATATTTAAAACTTTATTTTTTTTTGAGACAGAGCCTCAAGCTATCCCCCTGGGCAGAGTGCCGTGGCATCATTCTCACAGCAACCTCCAATTCCTGGGCTCAAGCGAGTCTCCTGTCTCAGCCTCCCAAGTAGCTGGGACTACAGGCGCCTGCCACAACGCCTGGCCATGTTTTGGTTGCAGCCATCATTTGTTGTTTGGCGGGCCTGGGCTGGGGATTTGAACCCGCCACCTTAGGTGTATGTGGCTGGCACCTTAGCCGCTTGAGCCACAGGCACCGAGCCTAAAACTTTATTTTATAAAAGAAAAAAATAGCTGGACAAGGTGGCTCACTCCTGTAGTCCCAGCTCGTCAGGAGGCTGAGCTGGGAAGACCACTTGAGCCCAGGAGTTCACTGCAGAGAGCTATAATCATGCCATGGCAGTCTAGCCTGGGCAATGGATTGAGGCCCTGTCTCTAAAAAAGTAAAGTAAAATACAAACTAGAATATAATAAGATAAATATAATTTATTTTAATACAATTAAAAGACATCTGCTTAACAACTATAAATTTAGGACGTGTTAGAAACAAGTACTCACATCAATCTCAGTAAGATCTTTTATCATATATTTATTCCAAAAAAATCGATCATCAACCTAGAAAAGGAAGAGAAAAAGCAGTTCAGAAATACAGTATTGTAGTTTTCCCATAAAAGTCGGAACAGGCTATCACTTGTTCCAGAGGGTAAACCCTGTTCCCTGGGCTGGGAGTGGTACCTTCTGCCAGAGGGGCCGGCCGGCCCTCTCTCCAGCGCTCTGTCTCTGCACCGAATTAGTCAGGTCATAGGTCAAACTATAATAAAAGGATTCTGAGTCCATGAACATCTTCAGCAATTCCTCAAGTAATCTTCGCTCTAACTTCTCCTTCTCTTTACTTTCCTTAACCTGTAAGAAATCAATCTGCTATTACTCCAGGAATTAAATGTAAAGTATCATATGCTAATACAGGACTTCCAAGGAAAGAAGTGAAAATAATGCCAAGGACATGAGGAAACGGGACTTTAATATAACAAATGGTTTCAAAATAAATTTACTGAGATGCAAATTACTTCTCAATTTAAAACTAATCAAAGATGAATTCAAAGCCCATATCAATTAAATTCTTACTTTCTTTTTATTAGGAGCCGATACATTGGATTTGATATGTGTAAATGTCTTCAGCAGAAACTTTGAGTCATCAGGAGATGGTATAATCTTCTCTGGCTTGTTAATCCCAAAATGATGTTTCTTACAGAGCTAAATAATTAGGAAGAGAAAGATGATTTGTCATTATTAATATCTGCCTGTTAAATGTTCAAGTTGGAGTGTAGCAGTGAATGCTACTACTCGGGCATGTGATTAAAAGTAACTCTCATGAGCTAATAAGATGACCACATCGACAACTAGTGGAAAACACTCTGAGGTTCTGCAGCTTATCAAGGATAAGACACAAAGAATCCTGGGCAGGACATGCCTAGGACTCTGAGGTAGAAAACTCAGGTTTGGATCAGAATGACAAGTTCTTATCTAATGAACTGAAGAAGAAAATGTTCTGGTTGAGGTTATTAATGTTCTGAAAATAACCCTCTAAGAATAAAAATATTGAAAATACACATTTGCTATGCTTCAGGGTCATTACAGTTATCAGTACTAAATATTCATTCATGCTAATAAACTGAGTGTTCTGGTTGAAAAGATGTCTTAAGAGTCTACTCCAGGGGAATCTTAAAAGCTGGACATTTCAACCACTCCCCCTCCCACTAGCTCACTAATGAAATCAGCTTATATATATAATATAACACTTTTGGTCCAGAGATTTAATTAGAAGAAGCAGTAATAGGGGGCTGCAGAAAATGTACAGGCCAAGTGGCAAAGGTGAAGAAGGGGACAGGAACATCGATGTGGCCACGTTAAGAGAGTGTGGAGGTTCCAAAGGGAGTCGAGGGATTTTCAACCTCAAAGCCTAGAAGCAAGAAGAGAGAAAATCAAGTAGGGGAAGTCAATAAAGAATGAGAAACCACGCGTGAGTAGACACCAGTAAAAAAATCACTGGCAACATGAGGAATCAGAACAGATCAACTCAGCTATGGGATCATGATGTAGCTACCACAGAAGATCCCATCTATAAGGAAATTGTAGAAATGGCAAAAATGGATTACAGAGTATGGATTACAAAAATAAAGAAGGGAATCAAAGGAAAAGTGGAAGACCAACAAAAGGAAATGCAAAAGTTGACCTAAGAATTCAAGAAAAGACAACATTTTTAAAGACCTACAGGCTTGGCGCCTATAGCTCAACTGGCTAAGGCGCCAGCCACGTACACCCAAGGTGGCGGGTTCGAATCCCCAGCCCGGGCCCGCCAAACAACAATGACGGCTGCAACCAAAAAATAGCCGGGCGTTGTGGCGGGCACCTGTGGTCCCAGCTACTTGGGAGGCGGAGGCAGGAGACTCGCTTGAGCCCAGGAGCTGGAGGTTGCTGTGAGCTGTAATGCCATGGCACTCTACCCAGGGGGACAGCTTGAGGCTCTGTCTCAAAAAAAAAAAAAGACCTACACAAAATCAGAAAAGATGTAACAGAGCTTAAAAAAATAAAGGTGTCATTCAGGGAGTTTCAAAATGTAGAAGAAAGTTTTCAACAACAGAATAAACCACAGAGAATAAAGAATCTCACAGCTTAAAGACTCCAGAACTTACCCAGTAATTTAAAGAGGCAGAAAAGAAGAGGGTAAAAGCTGAATAATCTCTTAGAGAACTGGACTGCACACAGCACACAAACTTACGGATTATAGGTATTCCTGAAGGAGAAGAAGAGAATCCCAATGGTATGGAGGCTCTAGCTGATGATATCATAACTTCACAAGCATCTCCAAGGATTCAGACATTCACCTGCTAGATGGTCAAATCCAGGGTCAACTCAATTCAAACAGAGCATTTCCTAGACACGTAGTAATTAACCTGGCCAAAGTCAAAATCAAGGAGAAAATTCTCCCAAGCAGCCAGACATAAGCAGCATCTAACCTACCAAGGGAAACCCATCAGGGTGACATCTTACTTGTCAGTGGACACTCTATAAATCAAAAGGGAATGAGCTTCCACCTTCAATCTTCTCAAACAAAACAACTGTTGGCCAAGGATCCTGTATCCTACAGAACTAAGTTTCACATTTGATGGAGAAATCAAATCTTTTATTAACAAGCAAACGTTGAGGAAATTTGCCACTACAAGACAGGAAGTACTCAGACCAGTACTTTACACAGACCAACATAATGGACCAACAGCAAAGTAAAGATAGCCGGAAACTAAAGGACAAAGCTTAGCTTCCACAATGGCCCAAGTGATGAAGCAAGGCAACAGAGCCCCACACAAGTCAAAGAGAAATCCACCCGACATATTAATTCTCTCAATAAACATGAACAGCTTCAATCCCCCACTAAAGAGGCACAGGCTGGCTGATTGAATAAAAAACATAAGCCAAGTACACGATGTCTTCAGGAAAGACATCTAACCTCCAAAGACAAAATAAGACTCAGGTTTGGAAAACTGTTTTTCAGGCAAATGGAAATCAGAAGAAAACAGGAGTCGCAATCCTATTTGTGGATATAATTGGCTTTAAATCAACAAAAGTAAAGGCAGACAAAGATGTACACTATATACTGTTCAAGGGAACAATGCAACAAGACCTTTCAATCCTAAATATTTATGCATCCAACTTCAATGCTCCCAGATTTATAAAATGAACCCTACTAGGTCTGAACAATATAAACTATAACATTATAACAGCCAGAGACTTCAACACCCCACTGACAAAACTGGACAGCTCCTCCAAGCAGACTGAAAGAAATGATGGACTTAAACATGACTCTACAATAAACAGGCTTAACAGATATATAAAGAATACTTCACCCCAATACTACTAAGTATACATTCTTCTCATCAGCTCACCGATCAATCTCTAAAACTGATCATATTCTAGGACACATATCAAACCTCAATACTCAATACATTCTCAAAAGAATAAAAATTAGACCTTGTATCTTTAAGGACCAAAATGGACTAAAAGTAGAACTCAATCCCAACAGAAACCTTCATCTCCATAGACAAGTCATGGAAACTAAACAACCTTTTGCTAAATGACAGCTGGGTCAAGGAGGAAATAAAGAAGGAAATCATTCGATTCCTCAAACAAAACAGCAGAGAAGCTAGGACCTATCAAAACCTGTGAGATACTGCAAAAACAGTCCTAAGGAAAAAAATTATCACATTAAATGCCCACATCCAGAAAACAGAAAGAGGGTAAATCAACAATCTCATGAAATAGCTCAAGGAATTGGAAAAGGAAGAACAATCCAATTCCCAACCTGGCAGAAGAAATAACCAAAATTAGATCAGAACTAAATGAACTACTCAGAAGTTTAATGAACTTCTGAGAACAAAAGAACTACTCAGAGGATTAATGAAACAAAAAGTTGGTTCTTTGAAAACATAAATAAAATCAATAAACCCTTGGCCAGATTAATTAGAAACAGAAAAGCAAAATCTCTAATGAGCTCAATTAGGAATGAAAACAGAGATATAACATACTACAAAAATACAAAAGATCTTCAGCAAATGTTACACAAAACCATGCCCAGAAATTTGAAAATGTGGAAGAAATGGACCAATTCCTAAAATCACACTATCTCCCTAGACTCAACCAGGAAGAAATAGAATTCTTTAACAGACCAATATCAAGCACTGAAATTGTAATAACTCTAGAAAAACCTCCAACAACAACAAAAAGGAAGTCCTGGACCAAATGCTTTCACACCAGAATTTTACCAAAACTTCAAAGGAGAGCTCACACCTATATTGCAGAACCTATTCCAAAACATTGAGAAGGATGGACTCCTCCCCAACTCTATGATGCGAATATCACCCTAAAACCAAAACCAAAACCAACAACAACAACAAAACCTACAGACCAATTTCATTAATCAATATTAACACAAAAATATTCAGCAAAATCTTAGAAAACAGAATTTAGCTACAAATCAAAAAAATAATTTATCACAACCAAGTGGGCTTCATCCCTGGGATACAGGCCGATTCAACCTACACAAATCCATAAATGTAACTCACCACGTAAACACAAGCAGTACCAAGGACCATTAACATCCTCTCAACAGTTGCAGAAAAAGGATGAGAAACTTCACCATCCTTTTTTGATAAGAACACTTAGGAAAACTGGCATAGATAGGACATTTCTTAAATTGATGAAATCATCTATGACAAACTCACAGCCAATATTGTAGTGAATGGAGGAAAAACTGAAAGCATTTCCACTTAGAACTGGAACCAGACGAGGATACCCACTATCACATTAGTCAACATAATATTAGAAGTCCTAGCCAAAACAATTAGACAAAAGAAGAATGTCAAGGGTATCCCAATAGGAACAGAGGAGGTCAAATTATCACTCTTTGCTAATGATATAATCTTGCACTTAGAAATTTCAAGGACTCAACCACAACACTTTGGTTAAGTCATCAAGAAACAGATGCAGCCTTCATACAGGCCAACTGAAGGCAAGCTAAAAATCAAATTGAAGGTATAATACCCTTTACTACGGTAGCATCAAAGACAATGAAGTTCCTTGCAATATACTTACCAAAGGATATGAAGGATCTCTACAGAGAGAACTATGAAACCCGAAGATTTTGAAAAAATAGTTCTATGTTTCATATAGAACTAGAAAAAAACCCGAATAACCAATGCAATTCTACAAACAAGAACAAATCTGGAAGCATCACGTTACTAGACTTCAGGTTATATTATAAGTCTCTAGTGATCAAAACAGCATGGTACTGGTATAAAAACAGAGGCATAGATCTCTGGAATAGAATACAGGACCTAGAGATGAAACAAGCTTCATATCACCATCTGATCTTTGATAAAGCAAACAAAAGCATACACGGGAAAGAATTCCTATTTAAAATTCCTATGTAAAAGACCGACACTGGACCTGCACGTCTCACCACTTATGAATATTAACTCATAATGGATAAAAGATTTTAATCTAGGACATGAAACCTTAAAAACTCTAGAAGACAGGGTGGGAAAAACTCTTAATGATATTCGTCTTGGGAAGAATTTATGAAGAAGATCCAAAGGGCAATTGCAGCAACCATATAAATATATAAACAAGACCTGATCAAGTTAAAAAGTTTCTGCGTAACTAAGGACACAATCAACAAACCAAAGAGACACCTTCAGGGT